TGAAAGCTGAAAAATAACCAATCTCATTGTTTGGGGCTTTTTACCCGTGAATCTTCACTTTGCGACTAAACTATTCACAGCAGTGCCACATTTTCTGGGTCACTGAATGTGGATGCCAGCGCTCTACTAGCAAACCAAAAATCAAATCAACGCGACCAATTACATTACAGCTGGGTCATGTTATAGAGAGGTACATTGAAATTGAAAGGTCAGCACAAATGGTCAAAATCCGACATTTTCTCACCTTCCTGCCCGTTCACAGCTTAGAAAATGACACAGACCAGCCTCATCTCGTTGTGCAGCTGGACATAGACAAGTGCACCAAGAAAAAGAGCCACATTTCTCTAAAGAACTTGCACAGGGCTGCTGAAAGCTGAAAAATAACCAATCTCACAGTTTGGGCCTTTTTACCCGTTAATCTTCACTTTGCGAATAAACTATTCACAGCAGTGCCACATTTTCTGGGTGACTAAATGTGTATTCCAGCGCTCTACAAGCAAACCAAAAATCAAATCAACGCGACCACTTACATTACAGCTGGGTCATGTTATAGAGAAGTACATTGAAATTGAAAGGTCTGCACAAATGGTCAAAATCCGACATTTTCTCACCTTCCTGCCCGTTCACAGCTCAGAAAATGACAATGACCAGCCTCATCTCGTTATGCAGCTGGACATAGACAAGTGCACCAAGGAAAAGAGCCACATTTCTCCAAAGAACTTGCCCGAGGCTACTGAAAGCTGAAAAATAAACAATCTCACAGTTTGGGGCTTTTTACCCGTGAATCTTCACTTTGCGACTAAACTATTCACAGCAGTGCCCAATTTTTTGGGTCACTGAATGTGGGTGCCAACGCCTTACAAGCAAACCAAAAATCAAATCAATGCGACCACTGACATTACAGCTGGGTCATGTTATAGAGAGGTACATTGAAATTCTAAGGTCAGCGCAAATGGTCAAAATCCGACATTTTCTCACCTTCCTGCCCGTTCACAGCTCAGAAAATGACAATGACCAGCCTCATCTCGTTGTGCAGCTGGACATAGACAAGTGCACCAAGAAAAAGAGCCACATTTCTCTAAAGAACTTGCCCAGGGCTGCTGAAAGCTGAAAAATAACCAATCTCACAGTTTGGGGCTTTTTACCCGTGAATCTTCACTTTGCGACTAAACTATTCACAGCAGTGCCAAATTTTTTGGGTCACTTAATGTGGGTGCCAGCACCCTACAAGCAAACCAAAAATCAAATCAAAGCGACCACTGACATTACAGCTGGATCATGTTATAGAGAGGTACATTGAAATTCAAAGGCCAGCACAAATGGTCAAAATCCGACATTTTCTCACCTTCCTGCCCGTTCACAGCTTAGAAAATGACAATGACCAGCCTCATCTCGTTGTGCAGCTGGACATAGACAAGTGCACCAAGAAAAAGAGCCACATTTCTTCAAAGAACTTGCCCAGGGCTGCTGAAAGCTGAAAATAACCAATCTCATAGTTTGGGGCTTTTTACCCGTGAATCTTCACTTTGCGAATAAACTATTCACAGCAGTGCCACATTTAATGGGTCACTGTATGTGGATGCCAGCGCTCTACAAGCAAACCAAAAATCAAATCAACGCGACCAATTACATTACAGCTGGGTCATGTTATAGAGAGGTACATTGAAATTGAAAGGTCAGCACAAATGGTCAAAATCCGACATTTTCTCACCTTCCTGCCCGTTCACAGCTTAGAAAATGACACAGACCAGCCTCATCTCGTTGTGCAGCTGGACATAGACAAGTGCACCCAGAAAAAGAGCCATATTTCTCTAAAGAACTTGCACAGGGCTGCTGAAAGCTGAAAAATAACCAATCTCACAGTTTGGGGCTTTTTACCCGTGAATCTTCACTTTGCGACTAAACTATTCACAGCAGTGCCACATTTTCTGGGTCACTGAATGAAGGTGCCAGCGCCCTACAAGCAAACCAAAAATCAAATCAATGCGACCACTGACATTACAGCTGCGTGAAGTTATAGAGAGGTACATTGAAATTCAAAGGTCAGCACAAATGGTCAAAATCCGACATTTTCTCACCTTCCTGCCCGTTCACAGCTGAGAAAATGACAATGACCAGCCTCATCTCGTTATGCAGCTGGACATAGACAAGTGCACCAAGAAAAAGAGCCACATTCCTCTAAAGAACTTGCACAGGACTGCTGAAAGCTGAAAAATAACCAATCTCACAGTTTGGGGCTTTTTACCCTTGAATCTTCACTTTGCGACTAAACTATTCACAGCAGTGCCACATTTTCTGGGTGACTAAATGTGTATGCCAGCGCTCTACAAGCAAACCAAAAATCAAATCACTTACATTACAGCTGGGTCATGTTATAGAGAAGTACATTGAAATTGAAAGGTCAGCACAAATGGTCAAAATGCGACATTTTCTCACCTTCCTGCCCGTTCACAGCTCAGAAAATGACAATGACCAGCTTCATCTCGTTATGCAGCTGGACATAGACACGTGCCCCAAGAAAAAGAGCCACACTTCTCCAAAGAACTTGCCCAGGGCTACTGAAAGCTGAAAAATAACCAATCTCACAGTTTGGGGCTTTTTACCCGTGAATCTTCACTTTGCGACTAAACTATTCACAGCATTGCCAAATTTTTTGGGTCACTGAATGTGGGTGCCAGCGCCCTACAAGCAAACCAAAAATTAAATCAATGCGACCACTGACATTACAGTTGGGTGAAGTTATAGAGAGGTACATTGAAATTCAAAGGTCAGCGCAAATGGTCAAAATCCGACATTTTCTCACCTTCCTGCCCGTTCACAGCTCAGAAAATGACAATGACCAGCCTCATCTCGTTGTGCAGCTGGACATAGACAAGTGCACCAAGAAAAAGAGGCACATTTCTCTAAAGAACTTGCACAGGGCTGCTTAAAGCTGAAAAATAACCAATCTCACAGTTTGGGGCTTTTTACCCGTGAATCTTCACTTTGCGACTAAACTATTCACAGCAGTGCCACATTTTTTGGGTCACTGAATGTAGGTGCGAGCGCCCTACAAGCAATGCAAAAATCAAATCAACGCGAACACTTACATTACAGCTGGGTCATGTTATAGAGAGGTACATTGAAATTCAAAGGTCAACACAAATGGTCAAAATCCGACATTTTCTCACCTTCCTGCCCGTTCACAGCTCAGAAAATGACAATGACCAGCGTCATCTCGTTGTGCAGCTGGACATAGACAAGTGCACCAAGAAAAAGAGCCACATTTCTCTAAAGAACTTGCACAGGGCTGCTGAAAGCTGAAAAATAACCAATCTCACAGTTTGGGGCTTTTTACCCGTGAATCTTCACTTTGCGACTAAACTATTCACAGCAGTGCCACATTTTCTGGGTGACTGAATGTGGGTGCCAGCCCCCTACAAGACAACCAAAAGTCCAATCAATGCGACCACTGACATTACAGTTGGGTCAAGTTATAGAGGTACATTGAAATTCAAAGGTCAGCACAAATGGTCAAAATCCGACATTTTCTCACCTTCCTGCCCGTTTACAGCTCAGAAAATGACAATGACCAGCCTCATCTCGTTGTGCAGCTGGACATAGACAAGTGCACCAAGAAAAAGAGCCACATTTCTCCAAAGAACTTGCCCAGGGCTGCTGAAAGCTGAAAAATTACCAATCTCACAGTTTGGGGCTTTTTACCCGTGAATCTTCACTTTGCGACTAAACTATTCACAGCAGTGCCACATTTTCTGGGTCACTGAATGAAGGTGCCAGCGCCCTACAAGCAAACCAAAAATCAAATCAACGCGACCAATTACATTACAGCTGGGTCATGTTATAGAGAGGTACATTGAAATTGAAAGGTCAGCACAAATGGTCAAAATCCGAAATTTTCTCACCTTCCTGCCCGTTCACAGCTTAGAAAATGACACAGACCAGCCTCATCTCGTTGTGCAGCTGGACATAGACAAGTGCACCAAGAAAAAGAGCCACATTTCTCTAAAGAACTTGCACAGGGCTGCTGAAAGCTGAAAAATAACCAATCTCACAGTTTGGGCCTTTTTACCCGTTAATCTTCACTTTGCGAATAAACTATTCACAGCAGTGCCACATTTTCTGGGTGACTAAATGTGTATGCCAGCGCTCTACAAGCAAACCAAAAATCAAATCAACGCGACCACTTACATTACAGCTGGGTCATGTTATAGAGAAGTACATTGAAATTGAAAGGTCTGCACAAATGGTCAAAATCCGACATTTTCTCACCTTCCTGCCCGTTCACAGCTCAGAAAATGACAATGACCAGCCTCATCTCGTTATGCAGCTGGACATAGACAAGTGCACCAAGGAAAAGAGCCACATTTCTCCAAAGAACTTGCCCGAGGCTACTGAAAGCTGAAAAATAAACAATCTCACAGTTTGGGGCTTTTTACCCGTGAATCTTCACTTTGCGACTAAACTATTCACAGCAGTGCCCAATTTTTTGGGTCACTGAATGTGGGTGCCAACGCCTTACAAGCAAACCAAAAATCAAATCAATGCGACCACTGACATTACAGCTGGGTCATGTTATAGAGAGGTACATTGAAATTCTAAGGTCAGCGCAAATGGTCAAAATCCGACATTTTCTCACCTTCCTGCCCGTTCACAGCTCAGAAAATGACAATGACCAGCCTCATCTCGTTGTGCAGCTGGACATAGACAAGTGCACCAAGAAAAAGAGCCACATTTCTCTAAAGAACTTGCCCAGGGCTGCTGAAAGCTGAAAAATAACCAATCTCACAGTTTGGGGCTTTTTACCCGTGAATCTTCACTTTGCGACTAAACTATTCACAGCAGTGCCAAATTTTTTGGGTCACTTAATGTGGGTGCCAGCACCCTACAAGCAAACCAAAAATCAAATCAAAGCGACCACTGACATTACAGCTGGATCATGTTATAGAGAGGTACATTGAAATTCAAAGGCCAGCACAAATGGTCAAAATCCGACATTTTCTCACCTTCCTGCCCGTTCACAGCTTAGAAAATGACAATGACCAGCCTCATCTCGTTGTGCAGCTGGACATAGACAAGTGCACCAAGAAAAAGAGCCACATTTCTTCAAAGAACTTGCCCAGGGCTGCTGAAAGCTGAAAATAACCAATCTCATAGTTTGGGGCTTTTTACCCGTGAATCTTCACTTTGCGAATAAACTATTCACAGCAGTGCCACATTTAATGGGTCACTGTATGTGGATGCCAGCGCTCTACAAGCAAACCAAAAATCAAATCAACGCGACCAATTACATTACAGCTGGGTCATGTTATAGAGAGGTACATTGAAATTGAAAGGTCAGCACAAATGGTCAAAATCCGACATTTTCTCACCTTCCTGCCCGTTCACAGCTTAGAAAATGACACAGACCAGCCTCATCTCGTTGTGCAGCTGGACATAGACAAGTGCACCCAGAAAAAGAGCCATATTTCTCTAAAGAACTTGCACAGGGCTGCTGAAAGCTGAAAAATAACCAATCTCACAGTTTGGGGCTTTTTACCCGTGAATCTTCACTTTGCGACTAAACTATTCACAGCAGTGCCACATTTTCTGGGTCACTGAATGAAGGTGCCAGCGCCCTACAAGCAAACCAAAAATCAAATCAATGCGACCACTGACATTACAGCTGCGTGAAGTTATAGAGAGGTACATTGAAATTCAAAGGTCAGCACAAATGGTCAAAATCCGACATTTTCTCACCTTCCTGCCCGTTCACAGCTGAGAAAATGACAATGACCAGCCTCATCTCGTTATGCAGCTGGACATAGACAAGTGCACCAAGAAAAAGAGCCACATTCCTCTAAAGAACTTGCACAGGACTGCTGAAAGCTGAAAAATAACCAATCTCACAGTTTGGGGCTTTTTACCCTTGAATCTTCACTTTGCGACTAAACTATTCACAGCAGTGCCACATTTTCTGGGTGACTAAATGTGTATGCCAGCGCTCTACAAGCAAACCAAAAATCAAATCACTTACATTACAGCTGGGTCATGTTATAGAGAAGTACATTGAAATTGAAAGGTCAGCACAAATGGTCAAAATGCGACATTTTCTCACCTTCCTGCCCGTTCACAGCTCAGAAAATGACAATGACCAGCTTCATCTCGTTATGCAGCTGGACATAGACACGTGCCCCAAGAAAAAGAGCCACACTTCTCCAAAGAACTTGCCCAGGGCTACTGAAAGCTGAAAAATAACCAATCTCACAGTTTGGGGCTTTTTACCCGTGAATCTTCACTTTGCGACTAAACTATTCACAGCATTGCCAAATTTTTTGGGTCACTGAATGTGGGTGCCAGCGCCCTACAAGCAAACCAAAAATTAAATCAATGCGACCACTGACATTACAGTTGGGTGAAGTTATAGAGAGGTACATTGAAATTCAAAGGTCAGCGCAAATGGTCAAAATCCGACATTTTCTCACCTTCCTGCCCGTTCACAGCTCAGAAAATGACAATGACCAGCCTCATCTCGTTGTGCAGCTGGACATAGACAAGTGCACCAAGAAAAAGAGGCACATTTCTCTAAAGAACTTGCACAGGGCTGCTTAAAGCTGAAAAATAACCAATCTCACAGTTTGGGGCTTTTTACCCGTGAATCTTCACTTTGCGACTAAACTATTCACAGCAGTGCCACATTTTTTGGGTCACTGAATGTAGGTGCGAGCGCCCTACAAGCAATGCAAAAATCAAATCAACGCGAACACTTACATTACAGCTGGGTCATGTTATAGAGAGGTACATTGAAATTCAAAGGTCAACACAAATGGTCAAAATCCGACATTTTCTCACCTTCCTGCCCGTTCACAGCTCAGAAAATGACAATGACCAGCGTCATCTCGTTGTGCAGCTGGACATAGACAAGTGCACCAAGAAAAAGAGCCACATTTCTCTAAAGAACTTGCACAGGGCTGCTGAAAGCTGAAAAATAACCAATCTCACAGTTTGGGGCTTTTTACCCGTGAATCTTCACTTTGCGACTAAACTATTCACAGCAGTGCCACATTTTCTGGGTGACTGAATGTGGGTGCCAGCCCCCTACAAGACAACCAAAAGTCCAATCAATGCGACCACTGACATTACAGTTGGGTCAAGTTATAGAGGTACATTGAAATTCAAAGGTCAGCACAAATGGTCAAAATCCGACATTTTCTCACCTTCCTGCCCGTTTACAGCTCAGAAAATGACAATGACCAGCCTCATCTCGTTGTGCAGCTGGACATAGACAAGTGCACCAAGAAAAAGCGCCACATTTCTCCAAAGAACTTGCCCAGGGCTGCTGAAAGCTGAAAAATTACCAATCTCACAGTTTGGGGCTTTTTACCCGTGAATCTTCACTTTGCGACTAAACTATTCACAGCAGTGCCACATTTTCTGGGTCACTGAATGAAGGTGCCAGCGCCCTACAAGCAAACCAAAAATCAAATCAATGCGACCACTGACATTACAGCTGGGTCATGTTATAGAGAGGTACATTGAAATTCAAAGGTCAGCGCAAATGGTCAAAATCCGACATTTTCTCACCTTCCTGCCCGTTCACAGCTCAGAAAATGACAATGACCAGCCTCATTTCGTTGTGCAGCTGGACATAGACAAGTGCACTAAGAAAAAGAGCCACATTTCTCCAAAGAACTTGCCCAGGGCTGCTGAAAGCTGAAAAATAACCAATCTCACAGTTTGGGGCTTTTTACCCGTGAATCTTCACTTTGCGACTAAACTATTCACAGCAGTGCCACATTTTCTGGGTCACTGAATGAAGGTGCCAGCGTCCTACAAGCAAACCAAAAATCAAATCAATGCGACCACGGACATTACAGCTGGGGCATGTTATAGAGAGGTACATTGAAATTCAAAGGTCAGCACAAATGGTCAAAATCCGACATTTTCTCACCTTCCTGCCCGTTAACAGCTCAGAAAATGACAATGACCAACCTCATCTCGTTGTGCTGCTGGACATAGACAAGTGCACCAAGAAAAAGAGCCACATTTCTCTAAAGAACTTGCCCAGGGCTGCTGAAAGCTGAAAAATAACCAATCTCACAGTTTGGGGCTTTTTACCCGTGAATCTTCACTTTACGACTAAACTATTCACAGCAGTGCCAAATTTTTTGGGTCACTGAATGTGGGTGCCAGCGCCCTACAAGCAAACCAAAAATCAAATCAAAGCGACCACTGACATTACAGCTGGATCATGTTATAGAGAGGTACATTGAAATTCAAAGGTCAGCACAAATGGTCAAAATGCGACATTTTCTCACCTTCCTGCCCGTTCACAGCTCAGAAAATGACAATGACCAGCCTTATCTCGTTATGCAGCTTGACATAGACAAGTGCACCAAGAAAAAGAGCCACATTTCTCTAAAGAACTTGCCCAGGGCTGCTGAAAGCTGAAAAATAACCAATCTCACAGTTTGGGGCCTTTTTACCCGTGAATCTTCACTTTACGAATAAACTATTCACAGCAGTGCCACATTTTTCTGGGTCAATGAATGTGGATGCCAGCGCTCTACAAGCAAACCAAAAATCAAATCCACGCGACCACTTACATTACAGCTGGGTCATGTTATAGAGAGGTACATTGAAATTGAAAGGTTGTTGTGTAATCGTAGGTGACATTTACGTTTTGTTGTTCTTTCATATTATTAGTATTTATTATCAGAGTCTAATCAATTCGTTCGTCGTTGTCAGCGTGTACACGAGGTACTGCTTGCCTTGAGTCAACAACACGGAATTCACGAGTTACGATTGTGCTTACTACGACGTTGCATGTTGTTTGTACATTTACAATCACGTACATGCAGCTTGGCAAGTTGTGTCACGATGCAATGCACACCAATTTATTTCACTACACGTATTTCTCGTAACACATCAATTCTTACTTCGTAGGTGTTTAGGTCCGGTCTTGCGTGACAGAGGTAGTTACTCTTAGTTAGCTTTCTCCATGATTGATTCTAAGAAACACGGACATTGATTCTAGCTTCGAACTGTTTCTTCTTTGTCTGCCTGTGCATTTTGTTCTCAAACAAATCCTTCGTTCAATGTGTTTATATTTTCGCGCTCTGCAGATTTGTTTGCCTCGCGCGCGCTCAGCTTTGTTTCCTTTTCTTTGTCAACTGCATTATTATGACGTATGACTTGTGTACGCACTTATCACGTGACCGTTTGACTGCATGCGCTATATATGCACGCTCTACTCTAGGCTAGTGCATTTGAGCGATCGTAGCGATCCGCTTTCCTTGCCGTTTCGTCTTCTCCGCTTCTTTACTCATTCGAGTCAGTGTCGCTGCACTAGTTTGTTTTGCAGTTTATCCACGTCGCAGTCATCATGGTCGCCATCTTTACATTTGATTTTGATGCGCAGCTGCATGCTGATGCAGCTGCCTTTTTCATTTCTTTCGATGATCTTCTTTCCAAAGTTTATACTGAATCTACTGTATGTATTCTCTCACCCAAGTTTGCAACGGTTGTCGGTTGTAGCATGCCAAGGGTTGGATGCAGGGGTGGTTAATTAAGCTAGTAGTAGTAGAAACAATTCAGTAACAAGTGGTACCGAAACCCGATCGAACAGAGCCTCAGGACCGGTCGAGTGCTCGTGTAGAACTGCAGGAGGCAGTCGAGTGAATTTGAGTATTTGTAGTGTTTGTGGTGTTGGTTTGAGCTACACCAGTGCAGTGGCAGTGTAACCATGGCATCCATCAAAATGGATGGTTACTTGAGAGCGTTCAAAGGAAAAGGCGAAGACTTCCAGTTGTTTTGGAGGAAGTTTTTGGTTCTGTGCCGATTACAGAAACTGTCGACGGAAACCGACCGCATGGCATCGTTGCCATTGTTTTTGGATGGTGATGCCTTCCACCTGTTTGAGCAGTTGTCTGATACTGACAAGGCCAGTGAATCAGCAGTAAAGAAGGCCCTGGAGTCTGCTTACACCATGACCTCGGCGGATGCGTTCCGCCAATTTAAAGCGCGGACGCTCCGGGACGATGAGCCCGTGGATACCTACGTCACCGACCTGAAGCGCTTATTGG